TTTTTTTACGTGTACCTACCGCGCGGCCGACGATACGGCGTACACAATAGACGGTAAGAGACCCGCGGAAAAGAAAGTGCACCCGATTACGAAAGCTCCGCGGGATCGCGCGACGTTCGCATTATATTATCGGACGTGACGCAAACGGGGGGCGTCTCCCCCGTCCCCCCGGCCGAAGAAAGTGAGCGCCGTCTGCGTATCCACACGGAGCGCATCGTTCGGGCATCGGTGTGAAATAACAACGTAACAACAATAACAACGTACCGATACCGTGGGCTACTACAACTGCAGTGTGATTCTCGGCGGGGTACTTTTTTTTCTTCTCGTTGTATGCGCGACGCGGCGACGTGTCGTCCGTGTCGCGCGCGTGACAAGAGGACGCCTCCCCTCCCGCCCGCCCGCCAATCCGAGCGTATAGGTGTACGTGCGTAAGTATAAGGGAGCGCGTTATAATCGGCGATTGGGGGGGGGGGGGTGATTGAGGAAGAAGTGACGGTTAGGCGAAACGGTTCGACTAAGGAATGTTTGAAAACTACTGAAACGACCGCGAATGATTACTTCTTAGGGATACATTATAATTTTAGGATCGAAAAATTACCTAGGAACGATAAAAAATTAGAGAATCCGAATCGGTTTCTTAGCGTTCGTTTCGTGTTGTACATTGAACAGTAGGTAAGTGACAACGATAATATTATAATTCTTCGTTATACACGAAAGAATACGGATTTACGTACTGAATATAATTGAAAATTAGCCATCAATTGTTGTTTTTTTTTTTTCGAACATTTTTGTAAACAATGGATTCTTTCAGTTTGGTACAAAGTCGGGAACCGCTAAATTTTCTCATTAAATATGAAACGATTGACGGTATGAAAAACTGATTTGAATTGTCTACATAATCGTTCCTAAAATCATACGTTTCCTTGTAAAATCGTTCCTAGTTGTTTGTATTCCTGTAAAAATCTTTCCCGAATTTAACGATATTCCTGGTTATGAATTTCCTGATTCT